ACACGGTGTACACGTGTACGCCGCCTGTGGTTTCGCAACGCGGTCTCATCCGGCAAGAAATCGACGAATGGAAAATAACGCGTTCCGCACATGCATACGCATACGTAGAGCTTCAACCGTAAAAATGTTACGGTACGATGAATTCGCAGATCGATACGCGAGAGATTACAAAAAGAGTCGTTTCGGCTGCCGCGCGCATTTAGTATGCGCCTGAATTGTTTATAGTCGCGCCGCGCGAGAATATCTCGTTTTAATATCCATTGTTTATGACACAGATGAGTCGGTCTCATCCGATCGATGTACGACCCGCGTAGGGACGTACACTTTATTTTTTTCACTCGGATAGACACAGATTGGATGGACTATGTCCAAACGTTATAACGTAGTCAAATGTCAATGTTTTTTTTTTTTCGCTTTAGCAGTTGGCATCTCGCTATTAGCTCAGTCTTCCCCGCGGCAGTGAATATGTTAATAACGTCCTTATCGCGAGACATGACTGTCGCTCGTGGAGTTTACACGGGATGCCAATTTTAGAACATGTTTTTCCAAAATACATCGACGATTACTCCAAGAGTTTCGAGCTGTTCTTTAATCCCAACTCAATTATACGTCCTTGTTGACCTTATTCTATATTTCCGAGAGGCTCATATCGGGATAAATCAACTTATCTATTTAATATTAGCAGGCCGTTACATCAAGCTAGTTGTACGATCACGTCGCAGTTATCCTTAATAATTTACTCGAATACTTGGGTCATTTGTGCCCACGATATTTTGCAGAGGAGAGATGACACGTCACCGTAAGAAATGCACGTACCTCCGTCGCGGTGTGATATTACTGGCATGCACCGCTTTATTACGAGCAATCAGATGTAACTCACACGTCAAGCTGACTGGCAACGTCCCCTAAAAGCGCATCACGGAATCTACGGACTGGCTGTTGTTGAACGCAAGGAATTGCTGCTCGTAGTCTAAAATCCCGTAATGCGGCGCGACTGACCCAGATTCGTGATCGCTGCAGCACCACCTTCGTGTCTTTTATCGCACACACGCGGACGTTTCTGAACGACGGATACGGTTTCAAATCCGATCGACAAGCACATTGCTGTTTTCTAATGTGAATTAGTTCGATCCTCTCGCGACGAGTGCCTCACAACTCGCGATTTCAATCACACAAACAGATTCATCCCGAGAGATTCTTGAAAATTAAATTCTAAAATAAATCTTAAAGATTAAAACTGGAACCAGAAGACTTTGTCCGACTGTCTAAAGTACAATCCGCGAAGACTTTTCTCCTATTTGCAGTGTAAATATTTGATACTCGAAATTAAGTTAATGAATTTTTGGAACCTCCTATATAATCGATGTGTCCGATCGACGAGAGATATTCGCGATAAACCGCGACGACCTTGATTTACATGGGGAATAGGACACGCAATCTCGAGGCTACCAATCTTTTAGCTGTACCAGTCGTTGCGCCTCGGTCAATTAATCAATTTGCTATCTAACAGTATGACTCAACCTGCGAACCTAATTCGACGGAAACGTATTTTTATCTACTACGGAGAGATATACGCGCTCGGATCTCTCTTCAGAATTGGTTAGCCGTGGCCTCGGGACATTGTTCAAGGTTTGTTGGCGAGGGTCCACGGTGAAATTATGACGTAATCTCAGAGTCCAGAGTGTATACGGTACATAGAGAGTGGTTAGATGTTGACGCATGCCGGACGGCGGATGGACTCGTAACGCGAGTCAATGGAATCCTCGCGTAAAGCAGGACGTCGAACTGCCGCCGGTGAGGACTTCATGGAATATCGATAAGCGACACTGCATATACAATCAGTCATATTATTTATCGTTCTGCAAGCTATGCATCTCAATGTCGCGATTCGATCGCCGAGCGATAAGCCGTATGCGAACCATTCCGCTTTGAATGTCAAACGATTCATTTCAGCGCTAGGTTTTTTTTTTTTATATATAAAATTGCTATTTTTATCGCAAAGGGTTATAATAAAATTTATTCGTTCGACTTACTAAAAAGTTTAAAGTCTTTTAATAACGAGTATAATAGTTGATAGGGGAAACCAAGACTATTAATTATATATGTATGTAAATTTAAAAAATAATTATTTTAGCACAACGGCTCCAGCCGTAATCTATAAAAATATCGTTCTTATATATTTTTAATAAAAAAAATTCATTATTTTTATATGAAAATATCTTATCTCGCTGTTACCCTCAGCCTGTCATAAAGATAGACAGAGTGTACTATTTTAGATGCCCCACCCTTCATAGCATTAGATTTACATTCTAATTGTATTTCCACATGCAACGATTTAATTCCCGAATTGATCTCTGAGATTCGAAAAGCGTGAAATGATGATACATTTATTAAACGAAGAGTCAGCGTTGTTCATATAACGTATGACATCACGACATTAGGCGGAATGAAATAACTCGTCCCCGAGTTACGCGCGATGAATATTTCGCTCTTGACGAGCGACACGATTTTTCGAGAATAAAGCAGCAGCTGTTTCAGTAGAGAGGTACTCACTAATTAGTGTAAGAGCCTCGACTTGATTTCTGTGGCGGCACAGCGACGAATATGTACATATATACGCTTCAAAGTATCATGGACTTTTCTTTTTATCGGCTAGTTCTACAAACGCAGAAATATACGATTCGATGCAGATATATACGTGTGGTCATTAAAAATTGGCTACTATTGGTGACTTATAGAAGTCACGCGTAGTACAAAAACACAGCCTTGAACATAACTAAAAATTCCTCAAAGTCGTAAATATGCTCAGTCATATATATACGTTATGAGATCATACCGATAGACGTAGTAGGACGAAGAGACGATAATATGAAAAATATTCATCTTTAACGCTTAAGCGAGATGTAAGCGTTTAGGTGCACGCGTACTACGCTACGAAAAGAATTTAAGTATAAAGCAGATATTCCAAGAGGCGGAGGAGAGACGGGGTCGGTTTTCTACGGAAAGAGTTGGATCGAGGTAAATTTCTCCCTTGGGACAGCATGAGAAATCAACCAAGACGTAAATTAAGAATGAAATCGCGGTCTCTTACAATCTGTGTCGCAACCGGTTTCTCGATGTCATCCTCAGGTAAGAAGCTTACCTTGTCCAAATTCTCATCGACTTGCTCTCGACTCGCTTATTTAGGTACGAAACAAAGTACAAACAAAGTACTACTCTCGTAGTACTTTCGAGTTACTACTCCAAATATCTATCCCTTTTTAGTTTACCGCGAATGCTATCTAACCGTTTTGATGATGTAATAGGAATGGTCCGGAAGAGAGACTGCAATTAATTAAAACGGCCTGACATTCTCTGTCTGGCGTCCCCTTTTCGTCCTATAGAATAGAACAGTGCGCGCCCACTCAATGTGGGATTTTTTTCTTTTCATCCCGTTCAGGATCTCCGGTGCCGTGAGCATGGGGGGCACGTGCGTCCCCTACCTAGTTACGCTGCTACCTTCGCAGCAGCCTACGTTCTGGAGTAACCGTGACCTTTGAGCCGCAACAATCGGCCGGCCACTTCATCTTAATGATCGCTTTGCATGCTAACGCGCACGACGTAATGATCTGCGACAAAGGCGGCCGTACTGTTGGTGCCTTCTCAGATGTCCGGCGGATCGCAAATAGGATCCCGTGAAGAACCGCGCGCTAAAAGTGGGGGACTTTGACGAATGGCATCGCGCTATCCGGTTCGGAAGTTAGACGAAATACTCGGTGAAATACATTTCGAGCCTCTAGGCTCTTTTTCGTAATCGGGATCAGCCGCCGGGTTTATCCGCGATGTAAATGGACGGCCACGTACCACTCGCTGCAAACGCTTTTAACAAAAAGCAACGTTACGAGCAAGAAAAGAGAAACGCGAGATAAAAATTCGTTCGTGCAGAAAATTTTTTTGTCGAAGAAACTCACGTGCCGCGTGAGAAGAGAGTATACGAAATGGGGGGAGTACAGCTGTACTGAACCCTCCTCTCGCACTTTACCCACGCAATCGAAATTGCGAGTTGACATGCGGCGAAACAGTTGAATGCAAGCCCGTATATGCTATTAGATGTCATGTATATACGAAGCCTATTATTTGCTATAATGCCATCCACTTCCCTCTCGTCTCGTGGCCAAAAATACATACGTTCGTGACGAACTAATGCGCACACCATGCAGTACTCTGATAACTCTGTATATTACGTGACACAGCAAATTTTTAAAACATTATAAAAGTATTTTCGTATAATTATGCAACCTCGATACAGTAGAACGATCAATACAATAGAGCAAGATATATATATATATATATATAAAGAGAAATCCATTATTTTATAATAAATATTATTTCTCATTTGTACAATTCCAGGCAATCTTGACTAAATCTTGCGATTAAAATTTTGCTTTTAACACGTTAAGACGTCGCATTGCGAAGAATACCGGTCTTATAAATCAATATAATTGCTAGATCCGACAAATAAAGTAGTGCAGTTTCCCGATATAAAACTGAAGCATCGAGAATGATACAAACTTTCCCACTTTTCACATTTAGATAAAACAAACTTGAGTAAAACTTTAGATAAAACTAACTGTACACTTGGTCGTGAAAAAAGAAATGTAGCGGAACCTCGAAGGAACTAACTTCAACGGCGCTACAACTGCACCGTCGTTTAGACCTTGATTAAATTTCCTTCCTCCACTTCCGTCGTAGATAAAACCAAAGAAGGGACACACATCATTGGCGCCGGTAGGAAGCGAGAGGTTAAAAGAAGAAGAAAAAAAAAGGATTTCAGGTTCATATCGTTCTCTCGATGCTTCCTGTCAACAAAAAGCTCATCAATCTTACCTGTTTTGTGGCGCGTGGCAACGTCTCCACGTTGGTGCCGCCGACGACGGGCGCCTTCTCCGGCCCGCCGTTTTGCTGGCTGACGTTTATGTTGGCGTTAACATTGGCGTTAACATTATTGGCATTGTCAGTGACGTTCGTGTTCATGTTCGCTCCGGCGGTAACGTCGCCGGCGCCGCCACCGCGCTTCCCGTCCTCGCCCGTCATTCTTCGGTCGCTCTGTCGATTCACCCTCTCGTTGTCTCACACCCTGTCCGCCCTCGCCACCGCCGGCTCCACCGCCGCCGCCGCCACCTCCGCCGCCGTCGTCCTCGTCGTCGCCGTACCCGTTCCGCTTATACTTCCGCTCGTTAATTCCCAACCTTGGTCCACGGCTCGGAATTCCGATATCTGTGCGGCCGATCGAGAGCCGATAAGAGAAGAGCGTGACGAATGACGCTTAACGCGTAATTTATTGCAACCCCTCAACGTGGGAATCTCCCCATCTCTGGTTTTCCCCTAAGACGCGGTTTTCTCCTAATCTAGGCTATTAATAGAAGAAACTTGACGGAAATGATATGCGGAAAGCTCGAGTTCGCGAATTAAAATATATCACGCCGTTATAGTTCGAAGAGCTCGTTTTAAATTTCCCATATTTAAAAAAAGATTCGAAATTATAATTTTGATCTATCGCGTTCCCCCGCGACTTCTCTTATTGTTCAAAATAAATTCCCGTGGGCAAATAAAATGAAGTATCACGCGCTATGGAGTTCCATCGGGCCAAATTACTCTTGTTCCTCGAGAAGCGCTATTTTTACTCTCCAAGAAACGATACGGGTGGTATAACCGTACATAACGAAACGGTTCACAAGCACATTGTGAGCACCGTCCTACCGTTTGCTATTCGCCGAGAGAGAAGACCGAGGCAGATAAACCTCGCCCGAAGTGCAATTCTCTAACTCGCCAACATCATCAAACGATACGAAGCTGCGAAATTACATCTCGAAGGAAACGGGGGGTATCTTTCAGACCACATTTCTCGAAACATTCTTGCGTATTTAAAATGCACCTCGATATAGAACACTACACGTCACGATTTATCTTTTTTTTTTTTTTCGCAAACGCGAATAGCGTTTTACAATGATCATCGTCTAACGAACGTAAAAGCGAAGGTCGAGCTTTCCGCGGGGGGGTTTTTGAGCGAGAACGCAGGATATCTTCGGTGGGGATCGTGGGCTTTCTGATAAAGAGCAAGAGACGAGAGAGGTGTCAACGTCATAGTGACGACAACGCGATCGCGATGATATCCGCCGAAGCGGAGCAACCGGGCAAAGTAGTTACTGTCGGCGAGATCTCGCGAGAATCCGGTTTTCCTCGAGGAAAACGTACGTGCGAGGCGTACGGAAAGCCCGCAACACGGTCGGCGGTAGAACCACCGAGAAAATCGATTCGAGCGTGTCCGTTCGAGCACTGCGCGCCTCTCCGAGTCGCGGCGATAAAAGCGGCCGTCGCCCTGGCTTACGATCCGAACACTCGAGGACGAGTCTCGGCGAGACCACCTCGAGACGCGGACTTTCCAAAATTTTAAATAGCGTACATTCTTCTTCCTCCTTTTTTTTTATTTCATTCGGCCGTCGGTTCAACCCAACTGCGCCGTACGTTTCCGGTACGCTTTTGACGTTCCGCTCCGGATAGTCGCATATATGTTTTGGTACGACTCGATCAGTTTGATATTCGCATTTTTTCCACGTAAATAAATTAGACTCCAATTTCAGATTAAAAGGAAAACGGAGGAAGAAAACTAATATTTTTTTTTGTATATATAATTAATATATTAATATAAAATATTAAGACGTTATTCAGGAATATTTTTGATGATGTCTTGTAAAATTAAGAAAATGGCAACGTTAATAATAATAATAATTTACGTAAGATAAATAAAGCTTAAATAAAGAATTGATGAATTGAAGATTTTCATGTTGACGGTTCGAAATTGTTCCAACTCGGAGCGTCACTTTGTAATCCGATATGACTTAGTTATACTAACGCGAATCATAATCATTTTCCGAAGATAGAAATAAGCGCAGCGAAACCGAGAAAGGAAATCTTTTGTATCCACTTTTGTAATCACAATCAGAGATCTCATGTGTCGAGAGAAGAGGTGGAGGGAAGGGAATTGATACTCGTAAACACCCCACCTTGTGATTAATATCGCGAAATAAATTCTCTAATAGCAAACATTTTTATGGATGACTTCAGGTCATTGACGATCGGATCGAACCGGATTGCGCGAAGCGCGATTGGTCGTCGCGTCGGTGAGAAACAGGAAAATCTGGAGAACGCGCAAAATGATGGTTGCACATCCCGCAATTACTCGACGAGGATTCCACTAGCGTTTCTACGCACACACATACGTACATACACACATGTACACAAATGTGTGTGTGTGTGTGTGTGTGTGTGTGTGTGTGTGTGTGTGTGTGTGTGTGTGTGTGTGTGTGTGTAAAAGATATATGTATCTTTTTACATAATTTATAAGTATATATGTATATAGTATACATGTATATAGTATACATTAGCATCAACGGCGTTGGGTCTGGTCCCTCGGCGCGGTACATTTCGCGTACGATCGATCTCTCGAACCCTTTTTTCCCGCACTTCGGCCGAGTTTGCCGCGGTTCGATGACGCGCGGCGCCTCAAATCCGCACGATTATCGAGCGATTGCGTTCGAAACGCTATTCTACGCGCGAGCGGGTGTAGGGTAAAAAGGGAATGAAACAGATGAGAGAAAGAAAGAGAAGGAAAGACAAAAAGAGAGAAAGAGAGAGAGAGAGAGAGAAGAAAAAACGCACTAACCGGAGTAGTTCACACACGCAGGATGCGCGCGGCGGATACCTTAAGGTCCACTAGTCTATCAACCACCGCAGTATTCAACGGGACACTTTTCCCATCGAACGCTTCTTCCTCCACTTGTCAAATCACACGCCGCGCCGTCATCTTACGCTGCGTCGTCTCGCCCTTTGCGTTTCGTTTCTCCTTCACATCGACCGGTTGCCGCTGCGGACCGCGCGCGCACACGTATATACGACTCCGAGTCCGAGAATTCGCGCGACGAAGAAAGCACCGAGCGTAACACGACCGCCCTCCCGGATACTCCTCACGGCTTTGATCGGCCGCCGCCGCCACCACCGCCGCTCCTGTCGCCTCCGCCGATGGCGACGCCGCGCTCGCTGCGACACCTGTCGGCAGCACCGCGCGACACGCTCGCTTGACGCTCTTTCCATCTTTCTCACGGAACACCGGAAAGCCTTGCGGAAGTTTATATTAATTAAATGTTTATATTAATTAGAGAGAGCGAGAGTGAAATGATTGTGATTTTATTTATATTATTCTATTTAAAAAAGAAATAGAATGGAAAAATAAATGTTATTTTTTTTTTAATTTTTATAATCCATATGTTAATTTTAATGTAAAAATTTCAGTTCTTAATGGCGACTGAAATGATATTAATGTTATTGATCTTTTTAAGATTGATATTTTTATTTTATCTTTTATTCTTGATTAATGTTTTATAAATACTTGAAATTAATGATAAGACTGAGATAGAAATAATATTGATATCTTTGTAAAAGTATAAAATTTTTATCAATTCTTTTGTAAAATATGTTTGTGTAAAACATTACTTTTACTAATATTTTTATTCTCATCAATTAGTGATAAGGATAATGTCACCGCAAATGTTACACATTTTATTTAATTATAAAAGAGAACGATTCAAGACTTCATAGATAAAAATCAGTAATTACAATAATATAAAGTATACACGTGTAAATTATATGTATATTTAAATGACAATGAAATAACGTAAACATTTTAATCTTTATTTAGATTCTCCTCAGTACAAAGTCAGATTAACATATTGACGCAAAACGTATTTTTTACAAAGCTGATTTTTAACAATAACAAACAATTTATAATCTAATCTAACTTTTTTTACAATTATTTTCTCTGCAATGACGTGGCTTAATGTCTAAAATGGCCGATTAGTAATCAATAGACGAGTTCAAATTCTCACTTCCGATCCTCACTTCACATATTTATAAGACATATAATCTCGCAACCTTTGGAAATTTTCTTGTGAATTCGTTGAAAAGATTCTAGGATTCAAAACATAAGATTCAGATTAAGAAAAAAGAAAGTTTATTAGTTAAAAGAATACAAGATATCATAATCTGATAATAATAAATAAGAGTAATAATCAGAGTAATATCATATAATCTGATAGGATAAAAACGTAAATTGAAATCATTACTTAGTGACGTAAGCAAAATAAATGTACTTTTAAAAACAATTTCACGATATTACGGTATTTATTTCATCTTTGAATAAGCAGATAAATATCCCATTTTTAACTTAATAAACAGGACAAATAAATATTCAGTGATTATCTAGTACATTTATAGGACATTCATATTTTATTTAATATTTTTTTTTTCAAGTTATATACAATATACAATATTCCATAAAATTGAAAGTCGTATATAAAAATTCACATTTTTATTAAATGTCCCGTAAATGTGTCTTGGCACGTTCTGAACATATTCAGAATAAAAATCTTTTATTTGATAAAAAAAAATGTTATATTTTACATGGTCCAATTTATAGTACATGTGAATAGAATTTCAATATTGATAATGTATATAACACGGCTTAATTTTTATATTTTATTTCATTGAAAACCAGACAAAACATTGATTAATAATGTAACAGAGGGGCCAATAAAAGTTAAATGTGCTGTGTGCATACTTGATTTCTTTTGCATTATTTAATTTTTCAATTTTCTTTTACTATTATTTTAATCGTGTTTCTAATTTAATAATAGAAATCATTTTAATATTAATATCCATTGATACTATGCAAATATGCCATTTAATAATATAAATCATTTACAAAAATTTACCAAAAAGATTTTGTACCCTTATGTATATATATATATATATATATATATATGTGTGTGTGTGTGTGTGTGTGTGTGTATAAAGCTGATATAAGTTGTTAATAACTACAATTTCATCTGTATAACATTAACATCTGAAATTGCAATAGATTCTGTAGAAATTTTAGAGGTATTATAAATATGTCTATTGAAACGGAAATGTTTACATATGTAATTTGATTTGCAGTTTACAAAAAATATTAACATTAGACAAATTAAATGTAATAAAATAAGAATACTTATTATTAAGTAAATATTATATAATTAACGGAATGCTTAATAATTACAAGTTTAATTACAGATTTTCAGTAAATATCACCTATGTCTTACATGTAAAGATAGCGGAAGGATAATATGGATTTTCGCTATTTTATGTCAGCTATGTAATAAAATATATAATTTGATTGTATGTATATATATATCGCGAATAGTGCATATTTTTTGCATATCGGGATTAAATTATATATAATCTCGATGACATGTAAAAAATTGTGTCTTAATTCTTATATTTATGTCATACACATATGTCCTTCATTCTCATTTCTTTTTAAGCAAAAAATATATTTAATAATCTTTAGTCTATTCTGCTATAAGGTTTCTTTTTCATTTTTTGTATGCCATTGCTGCATCTGCCTATTTTGTGTTTCTGAAGCTGTTTCTCAGAAAGAAAACAGATACTACAATTATTACATTTAAACTTAGAATTTGTGCCATGATGTATCATAGTATGATATTCTAGACCTATCCTATTAGAAAACACTTTACCACAAAAATGACATCCGTTATGTTTATGCGTAGACATATGACCACGGAAAGTTTTAAGTTTCACTGGTTTCAAGCATATAGAACAATTTATCATGTTGTCAGCCCCTTTCGAATGTATCGTATATCTATGATAACAAAGATTCTTATTATTTGAATAAGCCTTTTTACATTTATGACAAGGATAACCAAAACCTAAATGGTAACTTTCATGTAATGTCTTTACAGACATAGTAATTCTTTTATCACAAAATCTACAAAGCAACTCGTGTTCCAAATGATAATGGTTCAATCGAGCTTTATCACTCACAAATTTTTGGGGACATTGGTAACAATGATACGCGTTATCAAAATGTTCATATCTTATGTGGTCATCATATTTGTTAAAACTGCTTATTACTGCTTTACAATAGAAACACGGCAATTGTAGCGAAAATTCATTGAATGGTTTTCCTACTTTAACAGTACATTGATGATTATCGTATGACTTAACCGAAATAAATTTTTCGTTACAATAGCCACATACTAATGAATTAAGTTCCGTCGTGCAGGTTGTTCCATCATAGCAATGATCAAACTTCACCGTGGAATATCGTTGTTTATTGGTAGATCGTAATTCTCGTTTATTCTCCTGATGATCCTTCTGATTTTTAACCTGTCTATTTTCCTTGCATATTTCTTGATCTTTAATTTGATTGTATTGCATATTCTTATTTTCTGCAGCATTTTCGAATTTGCATTTTTTAGAAACATCAAGAACTTGTTGACACATTTCTTTCAACGTACTGACTTTACCGAAAATTTTTTCAATTTTTTCATCCTTTGTTTCATCATTTTGCTGCTTTAACAAATCTTCTTTATCATTTTTTTGCATAACCATCTGTTTTGTTGCACTATTATTATCTAAATCCATTTGTACATCGTCTTCAATATCGATGATCATATCTTCGTCTGCATCTTCTAACTTCAATATACTATGATCCTTACTATATTTAGATGATTCAGATGTATCTAATACTTGCTGTTTAGCAAGCGCCTTAGTAACATTTTTGGTATAGTTAGATGTATTAGACATAGATAAAGTCTCTTCTGTAAGATTGTCAGATTTTTGAGATGTATCTTCATTATCTTTACCGACTATTTCATAGGAATCATTTCGTTTCTTAATTGTTATGTTAATATCAATTCCAGACTCTTTGTCGCTACTCTGTGCTGTTTTATCTTCATTTTGACATAATTCACTAATTTTTTTTATGAACAAACAAAGTATGAGGATTTCGAAATGATCTTCCACATATACAAACAGTTTCATTATTTTTGTTCATTCTTTTACTATATCTAGTCGCTCGATTCATCTTAAATGTTTCGTCTTGATCATCTTGTAAGTTTTTGTTTACCTTGCTTGTATCCTTCACATTAATATTAGCTGATGTGGAAGACTTCAATAATCTGTTCTTTTCATTGAATGGTGAATTAAAATATCTACATTTAACTTTATGAAAATTCTCTTTAGTCTCACCACGCATAGCATGAACACGTTTATGTTTGCGTAAACAACGAGGAGACGAATACATTCCCAAACAAATGTCACATTTATATGAACGAACTTTGAAGATTTGTTTCTGCGTGACAGACTGAGTTTGTATAAATATATGGCGTTTATTATTCAGTTTACGTTTTTTCTCAGTATTTCCATAAGATGATTTGTATTTTCTTTTTCTCTTGACATAAGATGTTCCATGAACATCATTTTCATTATCCATTATGAGGCAACCATCTTGATGCGATTCATTTTTTGGCATGGTTTCCTCATATTCCGGTGACATTTCAGTCTTGCTTAATAATGAGGATTCTAACTGTTTCATCACATTCGAAGACCCTCCAATTTTATGATAATTAATTAAATGCTTTCTTAACGATATTACTTTCTGCTGACATAATGTACATTTGACAAACTGCAATGCAGATTGAGAAGTAATTTCAGTATTAGGAAGTTTCAACTTTGTGGTAAGCCTTTCATATGTATCTTCATTATTATAAATATTCTCAAAACTATCTTCTTTGCTGACTATCCTTGTTGAAGCAAATGAATTGTTTTCATTGAAATCTCCCTTATTAGTGGTACGTCTCTTGCGTTTACGTTGTAAAGGAATAATAATGCCATGTATTTTTTCTGAATGCTTTCTTAAAGATCGTCTTTCCAAATAGTGTTTACCACAAGTAGTGCAAGGATATACTTTCTTTGTTATTTTGACAGAAAATTTGAAAGGTATTTTGTTATCATTTCTCAAGTTATGTGGATTCTTGATATATGATGTAGATGGTTTAACCGCATCCAAATGTTGTACCATTTTCTCTTCTTTCTTCTGTTTATCTTCATAATCATCAGTTGGTGCATCAGTTGGTTGCTCACTTTGTGTAGTTTTTATCAGTTGCAAAGTTTCCCAAATTTTATCACATCTCTCCAATAAAATAACTGGATGTTTGATTGTAGGTGTAAATATTGGAAACTGCGATGTTGTAGCTTCATCCTATAATAGAAAATATATCATTTTCAATTATCGAGATGTTAAGAAAGATATAGAGTTCTGGCTTTAGCTAGCTATATTGCAAATCTATTAAATGTAATGGTATGCAGTTGGGGGCAAACATAAAGCTTACTAAATCTATATATATAAATTAAAAAAATAATTATTAAGTACTAAGATTATTATTATACTAATGGTAAAATACTCGGTCGGAGATGTTATATATTAAATGTGATATCATATAAGATATTTAAATATATCTTTTAAATATGTTCAGTTATTTGTTATAACATATCATTTTCAAATATTCATTTGTTTAATATTTTAATGAATTAAAATAAAGCTAGCATAAAATTTATGTTATGATCACACATATGCGATATAACATAACCAAAAATTGTGAAGTTTCTTTAAAGAAAAGCTAATAATAATTATAATAGTTAGAATCTAAATTATTAAAGAATAATCGAATAAATGATTAATAATAAATAAATAGTAATAAACAACATTAAAACACGTAACAATACCAAATACCAGTGATCAAATAATCCAACCTATACATAGAAAGCGCGGCAAAATCATGGACACAGACTTGATCAAAAGAGTAAAGTTCACCTCACATCGTCACATTCGTATATACAGTCCGACTGACGCGTATGGCTCTAAACAAAATTCATCAGCTTGCGCAACTTACAAATGCCAAGGGGTCCACTTCGTCAATCAAATTGGATGAATCGGTACAGGGCTCCTGCTTGCACTGGATTTCAAAATCAATGTCACAGCCAGGCATCAGCAGCGATTCGGCGTCATCCTGATCCTTCTGGACGATCGTGGCGTCATCGGTCATTCTGGGATGGGGTTCGATCTGTGGGAAAACGAGTCTCGCGTTTGGAATCCCTTCAACGAGTATGTTGGTAATGCTGTCGTTCGTGAATCGTGGCTGGATGGGCAAATGTCCGGCGTTTCCCTCAAATCTCTACTCTAAATCCCTTTTCTCCGCGCCACTCCGGTCCGATCAGCACGACAGTCTCTCTCTTTCTACCGCGCTATGGCCCTTTACCGTCCTCTCCACCGTCAAGCGTCTATTCCCATCCTTATTGGATAGGAGACGCGTTTGTGCTGAGCACTTCACCCGGCTCAGCTCGACTACCGTCGAAACTGATGCAGTGCTGGATACGCGATCGCCCAATGGGTACCCGCTGCTCATTGAGACTGTTTCGTTCGTCTATGCGTATTTGCGTTCGTCTTACGCCTTATACCATTAATTATATTTGAGCTTTAGCGAAAGTATGAGAAAGAGGGAATAAACAAAGACGAGGAGTAGAAAATACAGGGACCTTTCCAGTTTAGTACAAAACGTATATGTAATGCGCATTTTTTCATTATCCATTCCATTCCATCGATTGATCTTATTGGGTAACTGATTACATTACTAAACGTCGACTCCAATGATTAATTCATCCTGTTACACCAGTACATCGCTAAGCCCCTTGTTCTAATTATGGGAGTTTTCCAGTAAGGGACAAATAGGAGTCATTCTGTCTTTTTTCGATAATCAGTAAGAGATAAAGACGGAATGAGTCCTATGTCGATCTGTGTCTCTTGCTGAAAAGCACCTATAATTAAAACGAAGGATTTAACGTATTACGATGACTTAACATATTAGCAAGATGAATTAAGCATTTAGGGTTTGGCGTTTATAATGCAATCAGTAACCCATAAAATCAATTGGATAATGAAAAAATACGCATTTCATATATGTTTTGTATTTTTATTGGCTTATTTAATCTTCATCAACATTGTCTTCATATTTGTTATCTCCAATAAGTATAGATTCATCTCCATATTGATGAAGATTAAATAGATGAAAGTACAAAATATGTAAGCTAATATATACATATATACTGTAAATATGTAAATAAGTGTATAAATGTAAATAAATAAATATGTAGCTTAAAATAATTTCGAATTACAGGTTCCAAGTCCTAATGAGAAAAGCTAAAGGCTTAAGTGACATTGAAACATAAAAAAACATGTAAAAACATATAATTAATTATTATTCCAGAGACATTTTAATAATCTGTGTTAGAAGAATAAATGGGACATTCATCTTTTTTAGATCCTATTAATCCAATACATATTATTCCACTTCATAAGGGCTCTACAATAATAGCCTTCACTACGAAGTCTTATTTATTCTATAGTACAAGCAAAAATCGCGATTTTAATAAAAATAGAGGGAAATTCGCAAACATGACTCGACAAAATGATAAAATCAATCGTTCTGTCTCAAATTTTTTCCTAATTTTTTCCTAATACTAAGACTAGTTTAAATAATTTTCGGATTCAGCAAATAAAAACAAGTAGAAAAAAGATGAATCCAATGATCCCTATATATTTTCCAAATTGTTCGAAATGCATATTTTTCTATCTTCTATTTTCATAAATTCCCATATCTTACTACTGATGGATACTGCAACACAACGCGTAATTAATGAAACTATATCGGTAAGAAACCTTAGTAGATTAAGGCATTGTGATATCAGCAGAATGGGAGAATATTTTCTTACGAATGTAACAATTCTTGCAATCTTGCATCTTAATTGAGATATACATTACGTAAGTGTCCTAAAAACTAAGTATCCAATCAGTGGATGAACAACCTTGCAATTGGGTTTAAGAGATTTCTACATTTCTATTACGAATAATCAATGAAATGTCGTATTATTAGGCTATTATCATTCATTAGAATCGTACGATTAGCCGATATATCCGGCAAATCTTGAATCCTCATTAGGTGACGGCAGGTTGCAGTTACAACTTAACATCGTTCCTAATATAGATCTAAAAGAAACTTTGCATACAGAAAAATACTATTACGTAGAAAACTAATAAGACTCAATGGAAATCAATCTAAAAAGTCTTATATAGTATAGTTATCCCAAAATATATTATTAATATTAGAATTTCTAGAAGGAGCTGAGAACAGTTTCAAACTGATAGGCTTAAGCATTAAAGGAATGTTCCTTAACACGTTTGCTGCTACAACATTCTGTGGAGCTGTACAGTACAAACAATTGGTGAAAATTGATAGCAATTTTTATTTTTAAAAAAATTTGGAATTGATGGAAATAAAACATAAAGAAATAAAGGAATAAGAAATAGAAAAGAAATAGAAGGATTACTTATCCGCACATAACACATATATAGCATTGATGGTATACGGAAAGAGTAGGATGGTTAACGTCACATGTGTTACCGATATTGAATATATTAATCAAAACACTATCAATTTTTTCATATACTTATTTAATGATATTGAATTAATCCAAATTTATTTCTCGAAAATTTAAACAGGCAACTACCTTGGATATTTAAACCATCTGAGATAAGCTATATAGTTTTAAAATTATATATGTAAATTTCTAAAATCGACCAGGATTATTCCGAAAAATTATTGAAGAATATCTGAATATCTGAATATCTGAACTGAATTATTATAAGAATATAATATATTTATTTATGGTATCATCGTACAAGTTTCATCATCAATATTGGAATAGGACTAAAAGGTATTGATCGGAATGAGACTATTATCATGAATGCATTTCTTATATATTTTGTCAAGAATATGCACAAACTAAACAATTGTTAATGTCTTCATATTTTTCATAATATTATCATTTATCTCATAACTAATAAATATTTAACAGTAAAAAAATATATTTTGATAAAAATTTTTTATCAAATATTACAAGTTATGGGCCTTTGCGGTTACCGTTCCGGTACTGCCTACTACTACACGATTGGATGTAGACTTAGAATACTTGGGCGAGTCCAAGTTCGGAGATAAGGTAATTTTTATATTCATAAAATTTTACATTCTATCTCATCTTTTTGCGTATCATTCACATATGTTCATGTCCAGATTTTCACCCGAGAAAATCTTTGATTACGATTTATCGAAACACGATTGCCTTATATAACATAACCCAACACGTATATAGCTACGTGTTGCAGCGTACAGGATCTAGGACTCTCGAATTACACGCAATACGCAATATAAACTGTGTTCTACGATACAATTCGATATCGTATCGATGAGACATTCATGATTTATCGCTAGAAACACTTACCTTGGGAAGATTTTTATCAGCTACGATTGATCCCGCTCGCTCGTCCGACTTCACCATCAGGTCCCGAATGAACTGTCGCGTAGCGTCAGCAGCGTTCGTTACCTTTACAGTAGACTCATGCGCACAATAAGAAATTGTTAAAGGATAAGGGCGATGTGTGGCCAAGTGAGAGTAGCTTCAAAATTTGCTACTTGGATAGTAGAAGAGTGAAAGATGATGGGATAGATGCAGCCGTAAAATTTTCCCAACCACTCTGGACGAGTCCACTCCTGCGTCTGGTGTAGCAGGTCAAAACTCGCTTTGCCTGTGGCAATGTTGCCAGTTGCAATTTTACAAAAGGATTATTGATCTCTTCGCTTAAAAATCTGGCAAATTGGGCAATACTCTAGGAGGCGAATATTTTGCTATAAAGACTCATTAATTTTAATTTATCGATGATAATGCATAAATTATGGGAAAAACGAGTCTCTACTTTATTATTCCCATTTGTCACTTTTTGTACCAGTTACATTAGCAAAGAGGGTACCAAACAGCTCGCAGCACTTTCATCAAACCAACATTTACAGGCACTCTCAGAAAATCTATATAAGACCTCATTATTTCCAAACTGAAGCATCTTATATTCCTATTTATTTTTTAATATCATTTTATGTTCTACTAAATATTCATTCCATGATGGGAATGCCTTCTCATCGAGGTATGTAACACATCTGAAATTCATCAAACATTTGTGAGTATTTGTAAAACTGATTTGAATCTAAAGTCACATGTTCTAATTTGTAACATGAATTATGATTATTATATAAAAAATATTTTTATTTACAATGTATGTTAAATGTAAATCTGGCTAAAACTGGCTGTCCTCTAAGCTGGCCAGTGTCACTCTTCATCATTCGCTGATGAAGAAAATAAAGGAATGTTGAAGAATGACATATTAAACGAAATAAGATCTTTTCTAACATCAGAAGCGCGGACACACAAATGTAACAGTGGAAAATCGTACAAGTGAATTAACGGCGTGCAAACGGGCAATCAATTAATAGCCCGTTTTAGGCCGGCCGGCCAACCGGTATAACCGCGAATGAATAATCGCGGATAAGCGTATATAATTTGTGTTCATACGTAACGCGGCACAATAGCGTGGCTCCAGGTTCGCGGAATAAGCAATTGTCTATCTTGCTGCGTGTTCGCACTTCGCGCAAACTTTGGATTCCCTGTAAGCTATATATTGTGGAAATGACAGTGGTCGATCCATTAAGAGATCAGGTATGAATGCAGCAAGGCCGATGCTGTTTATTTAACAATATTATACCGCGCGCGGATTCAGTTTGATTCTTGATAAAATTGTGGCACTAACGAGATCGTCATGCTATGCACTTCCGCTGGAAGAAGACATATAAAGCAGCACGCGCTCCTACACTCGCACGCAGAGTAACATTGTTTGTTCGGTCGCAAAAATGTCACCAGTCTCGGGTGTCTTATTACTGCTCCTTACCTGCCAGCTCGCTACGTCGACACCAATTTTTGACAGAGGTGGTGTATACACATACTGTTGTCTACAGTGCTAAATTTATCGTGTCTAACAATACAGAGGAGAGCTTAGTGCAGGATTAAGAGATGATCAACATTATCTTGGAATTAATTAATTACTCTGTTGAATTCTTCAATCGCGAGAAAAAGTAATGAATATAGTGAACTTCTAATATTGTGCAAGAGCATTAAATCAAATGCAAAAGTTGTTTCAAACTTATTGAAAATTCAACAATTTTAAACGAAGATAGATACATATGATATTTGTAACGTCGATATTTCTGATTAACATATTCGGATCCTGAGAGTGCATTCGGGGAGTTCACTATTTAGCACTATTTAGCGCTATTTAATACTACTACTGTTCGGAGAGCTAATTGGTAGCGCTACTAAACACTATCATTACGTTATATCGATAACATTTTTACGCTATAATTTAGCGTTATCAACGCTATCGCTTCTGAAATAATGCATTAGTAGCATTTGGTAGCGTTAGCGTTTGCGAGCTCTACTAGTAATAGTAGTTAACAGAGTAGAATAGTAGTTAACAGCGAATTGTTTGTTAATCCGAAGAGAGTCTGAAGTTTTTGCTAAATTTCGATAAAAAATTTAAAATTAAAAGATTAAAATTTAATTTGATTAAATTTAATTTTTATTTTAAAATTAAAATGTTTTAAATTTTGTTATTTGCATAATTTTCGATTTCGGTATATGTCTTCTTGAATTTATATTTTTTCTATTATTTCTAATTCTTCATCATCGCTTTCAGACGATGAAGAATCTATTAATTCTCGTACTGTAAGTGCTACTGCTGTTAATAACAATTTTCTTCGATCTTGCCTCTCCATTTTGTCGTTTAGGTTTGGAATTGATTATGCTTTTAAATGCTTCATGCTACACTCACTACCGCTGTTCATGGAGTTCGCATTTCTAGCCCTATTGACTCCGGAGTTGGCAGCATTAACATCGATAGCACGATAGTAAACTCCCCGAACGCATCCTGAATTGATACTAATTTATATCAAAATTATATAAACGGAAAAAGAATTTGAAAAAATTACAATTAAACTACTCTGGTCAAGAGATTGTAATGTATAATGATCAATCCTGCTATAAATCCTATACATTTTCCACGTTTCGCTCAATGCAAACCTTTCATAGATGGGATAGGTCTTCATGGTCGATCATCTGGATTCGGAGAAACAGTACGAGATTGGTTCAGAGTAATCAAGGAGAGAATTGTGGGTAAATGGCAGGAATGGTTCGGCAGAGACAATCCAACTCCGAATTTATCACCACAGGATATTTTAAACATTGATAAATCTATAGAGAGCCGAATACCGAGTTATCCAGGCTTTTTCTTGGATTTGTGTAAGCAATCTCGATAAAACTTTAAGTTAACATCCGTAATGTTTCCTTTCTAACTCTTCGTCGCGTCATAAAGTTAGAACTCGCGCTGGTGGATGTTAAATCATGTGTTTATGCTTCGCTACGGAACATAATTGACTCTATTGCGATTTCGACATTTTACGATGCGTCACTCGCGAATGTCGTACAAGAGATACAATTAGCATCGCAACTTATAACATATATCTATCAAAGATGTGTTTATGCACATCCACCCAGGCGATTTCTAGACAATCCTGACTTTACTTTCCTATTTTGCCCATTTTTTTTTTTACGATAATAGCTAGCCTATCTTTCGACCCTAAACGAGATTGGGGCGTGCGACTTGGTAACTGGTACATCATCCGGAAAGTTACAGGGGATAGCTTCAATCCGGATAGTGATTCAGATGAATGGGACTTGAGACCTTTGTTGCCAAACTTACCTTCACCTCCCATATTGGGAATCAATTGGACGCCTGATTTCCGCAAATTCGAAATTCCGGAAGCTACGCAATCTCCAACGACTACACCAAACATCGAAACGACCACGTCGAGACAACAGACGACTCAAACTGTTACTCAGACGCAATCAGTCTTAACTTCTACCGAATCAACTGTAACTACTACTGAGGAAACTGTAGCTACTACTGAAGAAACTGCAGCTACTACTGAGGAAACTGTAGTTTCTACTGAGACCATAATTTCCACTGAATCAATTCCAATTACTATTGAATTAACTAGAACTTCCACAGAGCCAAATGTAACAACTGAAAAAATTTTGACTTCACGTGAATCTGTAACAAATACTGAATCAGTTACAGTATCTACTGAGTCTGTATTAGTATCTACTGAGTCGAAGACTGAACTAACTAACGTTTCATCCGTTGAGTCTACTATACTCACCACCGAATCAATGTCATCTACCGTCGTGGAACCATCTCTAACTTCTGTTAAATCAATCGAAACATTTACCGAATCTATTGTAATTACTACTGAATCAATTATGACGTCTACTGAAGAATTAACTACTATTACTACTAGTACTGAGCCACCAGTAACATCCACTATTATTACTAGTACTGAGTCACCAATAACAACTGAATTAATTTTACCTACTTTCAATAAACGAATAGAAGACAATGAGATCTCCAAACGTACTACAATGAAACCTCATCCAGCTTCTGCTGAAGTCATAATGTTTTAAAAATAGATCAATAAAAAGTTCAATAAATATGTCGAAAACAGAAGAAATACATCGACAAGGAACTAATTAAAAATTTAAATTTTTGCTATCTATGTAAAGAAACGTCTTCGAAAAAAATAATTACATCTTATAAATATATTAATCACTATGCAGATAATTTAGACTTATGAGTACAGTTTCATGAGTATCATCAGAGTAGTGTTTATTGGAGATTCCCAAAAACAGGAAAATGTAATCACAATAATTCGTGACATTCATTAGCGCATATTCAATATCTTTAAAAGCATTATTTTTCTTTGTTACTACTTATGTTACTCTAAGAAAAAGATCATTAAAACAACATATTACCAGAGTTCCACTCTGAAAATTAGGAAAAATCATAAATAATATAAATGCGTGTGTATATATATCTGGATCAACTTTTTAATGTTTATTTACAGAAATTCTTCGAATTACAGATTAAAATTACAGATTAAAGTTTAGTTTTAAAAAGAGTCATCGAAATTTAGAGTAATTAACAGAAAATTATTTTTGTTTACCGATGTGCTGGAAACTGTTTAAAAAAGCTAGAAAGAGATATCTATACTTATAAGTAGTACTTGTACAGATGGTGGCGCATTAATTAAATAAAATATGATTAATTTTATATATATATATATATATATATAAAACAAGATTCTCGTGATAAAAATGTGACAAAAGAAAAAAAACAAATGAATTTTCATCAAGAAGAATACATATTTATTCCGTAAAATTTATTATAATTACAGCACTATTCCATAGTAAAATATAATAATTTTTACGTCGATGATCTTCAAGATGGCTTCTTTTACTGTAATAAAAAAAAAAGAAATTTGTGTATATTTATATAAAACATCTTTTTTCTTATTTAAAATCAACTGTCTAACATGCACATAGCAGATTTTTATTACCAGAAGATCGTAAATGTTATAGAAACATGATATATACATATATAAAGCATTATTTTTCTCAAGCATGTTATTTAAATACAAAGATTATATGCACTAAATTTAAAAAATTTAATGTAATTTAATATTTAAGTATTTCTAAAATTACTTAGATGTTGATAATTTTAGCGCACATGAAATTTTATATAAATATAAAATGCATATATAACACAAAATGTATTTTAAAAGTAAAGAAATAAAGTTAGTTAAGTTTGTTATTTTGTTAATGTAATTGTATATGTGTAGTTGACTGAAACCAAAATTTTTAAACAAAAGAATAATAGTTCTAAAAACTTTTAATAGTTATATAAATTTAATGTTTTTTTTCTTAAGAATGTAATCTAATTTAATATTTATTCACTTTAGAAAAATTTTATTATAGCAAAAGTTTAATTACTGTTAATATTAGACAAAAAAAATGTTAGTTATGCTAAATATTAGTTAAAAATTAAATTGTTAAATAACAAGATATAAATATAAGAAAATAAATTTTGCACCTAATACATAATTTTTAAATCTATTTTATGTATTCTATATTGTCAAAGATATTAATTATATGAAAATGTGATAATTTGTATAAAATTATATTTTCATATTATTATGTATAAAAATCTTAGAATTACAATTAATAATACAACAAATAAACTATAAAAACACAAAATTATGCAATAATAAAATGCTCCATTAAAAAATATTAAAAAATTATTAGCATGCTTATATAGTTAACAAAGAATAAAAATACATTAAAACTTAAAGATTTGCATGCTGACCCTGATTAAGCAACAAGATACTGCCTCTCCAGAAGTTTGTAGTGCAAATGACGATCATTTGTCTACTTCCTTCCCTAGAATGTGAATAAAAAGCGTATACCACTGTAGCATGCATAATAGATGTCAGACTAAAGGAAAAGTTATTTCCGAATTGCCCATTATTATATTATCAATAAAATTATTTTTTCATATCTATTTCAAATTCTTTTTGATGTCAATTCACTGTGAGAAATACAAAAGTTTAAGCTAGATAAACCTTAAAATTTGTTAAATATATATCAATTATCTTGATTTTATTCAGAAATACAATAATGTATTAATAAAATTATCCAAACTGAAAAAAAAGATGATTCCCATACCAGAGAGAACACATAATGTAAAGCCAATTATATTGATACAAGATCTAAGCCAGAGCCCATGATTTAAAAAAAGACATTTCAAACATGCATAGAATGTTTTATATGAAAAAGCATTCAATAATAAAAAAAATAAAGAATAAATTTTACAATATTATATTAATATTTGAATGATAGAACAAGAAATATGTGTACATCATATATTTATATAAAAATTTTTTATTTAACAAGATTTAACTTACCTTTTTAGATGCTGCTCCAACTTTGCTCTTCTTAGTACCCCTAACTTTCTTCATCCTGTTCTTACGTTCTTTACGCTGTTTCCTGGTTTGTTTTTGTTTCTCGAAGAGACCATGCCTTGCTAACCTATACTTAGGCTCGAATTTTTTGGCATAATCCAAGGTATCGTAGATAAGCGCAAATCCAGTAGATTTGCCACCACCAAAGTTGGTTTGGAAGCCAAACACAAAAACCACATCTGGAGTTACTTTATACATTTTAGCTAACTTCTCACGTATTTCGGTTTTACGAACCGATGGTTGGCCAGGATGGATTACATCTACAACCTACAAGGTAAAATACACACAAATTCCTGTTGTAATCCTTCATTGACGTACCAATTGAATGAGAAATACAAATCTTACTGTCGATGCACTCACCATTTGTTTTCGGCATAAAAGCCGATTCGTCATGAACTTTCTCGTCCTGATAGTAGCTGTACCTTCCGTCTGTAATCAAAAATCAAAATTGCTTTTAATTCTAAATTATTTTATTTGTTGGAAACCTTACGCAAAAATTTTGAGTAACAATTTTTTAACTCATTTTATAAAGCATTAGTCTCATATATATACAAACATGTACTCATACTGAGGTTATGTCATGTCACGTTTAACGATCAATTGCAATCGATATTTGTTAAACGTGATATATACAATACATATTCTATTAGACATCATTGTTTAATATTTAATTGAACACCGCAATTTTTTATTGGACGATTACTGTGAAATTTCTCGATATAAAACTACATACCATTTTGCTTGATTGCAAATCTCTTGGAAAAGGACACGCACGGAAACACGTAGCGCCATCTACGAAAGAGTGCGTAACTCATTAACTAATTTTGACGCTTTTCTTACGCATGCGTGTGATGAGCCATACTCACAATCTCCGATTAAACTTGATCGGTTAGAAAGAAAAAAAAAAAACACTTATCGAATATCGATTGCTTCAAAAATTACTTCAAAAATTACTTGATGAATTTTAAGGAAATTAACGTGCGAGTAAAGTTACAGAAACACAAATATTAATCTTATAAAAAAAAATATTAATGTTATAAAAAAAAACTATGCACGCGCGTATGTGTTTTAGACTTTTCTAATTTCTTTAAATGTCCCCAGCGAAAACCTTGAAACTGCACGATCGGCGATGCGAGCGAGCTGCGCGCGAAGCTTCCGTCGGAGATCGTAGCCGTGTGAGTGGCGCTACCGACGATGGCACGTCGGCAGCTGATTGGCGCTCGGCCATCAGCTCGACGTTGACCACCGCTGCGTTCTGCGGGAAGTTTCGAGAACGTACACAGGCGGCAATATCGGTAGGCGACGTGGGTGCAGGGCTCAGTTCACTACGAAGAACGTTTCAGCGCGGACGCGGAGTGAGTCCGAGTGTTGTAGGAAACGTGCGCGGTCATCCTTCACAGCGGCACTCGCCTCGTCGCGTTTACGCAGGTAAGTTTTTTTTTCGTAGATCACGAGTCTCGTCATCGTCATCGTCATCGTCATCGTCGTCGTTGTCGACGTCATCGTCATCGTCGGGGACAACTCATCTGCCGATCCGACGATGAACGAGGGCGAGCAACGGGAGCCGCCGTGTCGCGCAATCGATCGACGGTTGCTCCGCGATTTTTCTCTCTGCGTCGAGAACTGCTGTCCCGACTGGCGTAACGCGTGATCATAGACACGTCTAGAATCTCCCCGAGTTAGCGTTCACGCAATCCCATCGCGGTTCCTCCCGAGCCTAGCTATCGGTTAGCGGAAGAGGGTGAGGGAGGGGCCCTTAGCGGACGGTCGAAGGTTGTGCGGCGACATATTTCATACGATCACACACTAATGAACGTTACGAAACTAGAATCGAGTCGAATCGCTGATGATCAAGCGAGCGCCTTCGCGACGAGCTTGGAAAGAAAGATGGTGGCAATCAGTAACCTGGCAAATGCACGCCTGCCTAGTTCATGTCGATTAACGATGTACTCGTCTGCATCTGTCGAGAAAGAAAAAAAAAAAGAGAACTCGCTTATTGCGGAATAATGATTTTCTTGATAACGAGGTGTACGACTGAAAGATTTAGAATTTTCGGGAGTCTTCTGACGAATGCTTCTTTACGTCGTATACAGATTTCGTCGCTCGGCTAGTGGTGACCACGCGCCCAATCTATACGATGGCGGAAGACTCTAGAAAGCGCAAGGATAGAGAGAGAGAGAGAGAGAGAGAGAAGGCTTTGTTCGCGAAGCGTTTGCCACTCTACATACACAGGAGCGCGCGCGCGCGCACGCCTTGCCTCGCTTCTGCTCGCTTCGCCTTTCAAAATCTTTCGTTCGCGGATCTATTTAATCGTATACTCCTAGCCCCTTCGTAGACGCCATTTTGAAACTCGCACGAATCCCGTATGGGTTTGTACGTCCGTTGTATTTACAGGCAAACACGCGACTTTTTAATTCTGTCGTGGAAACGTGACTGGAGCAAAATTTTGCGGAATTTGAAAATAAATTCGAGAAAAATTAGAAAAAAATAGGCATTTTTTTCTTTTTTTAAACAATGCCTTCTCGTGTTTCCGGCTTTCCTGCTTTCGTTGCTAAAATATAACGAAAATTTAATTTGAAGTTCAAGGTCGTAGTTCCGATCGAAATTCTTTTGCGGAAATTCTTTTGAGGTCACTTCACGCTACCTGGATTGCTTTTGTTATTTATTGTACTTTGTGTAACACGATTTTTCTGTTAATTTAAACATTCACAAATGATTCTTTACTTTATGATTGCGTCATGTGCTCACTGATCAGTATCCGTATTTATGCGTTGTTGAGATCCAATTATGTAACGCCACAAAATGCGATGCATTTCGATTTAGAGTTTATGAATTAATTATGAACTAAACTTGATTACCTTTTTAATAGCGTATATGTTACGACACTTTGAGAGTTCTTCATTTATATAAATGAACTATATATAGTCGCTTTGTTAC